ATCTCCAGGTGGCAGCAGAGATTATTGGTTAGACAGCAATCTAGGGTTACAGCTACATAAGTGCGCAGTGCATGCAGATTTTCAGAACCCTCCAAACAAATGGTGCATGTGAAATTCCACAAAGAACTCTGATTGTGGCTAGTATGAACATTAATTAAGCTGCTACATCCGTCTGACCTTGTGAGCAGGGCCCAGGGGTGTGATGGGGTGATAGGGCGATGTGATGGAACCCTTGTAAAATTGTTCACTACAAATTATTAAGTAAGCATAAGTAAGTTTGTGCTTACTTTGCTCATTGGATAATTCAACACTGGCAGGTCCATTGCAGTTTGCCCACCCACTCCTCACCCCCTTTCCTCACACAGGGGCTTATTTGAAATTCATAGGGCCGTGGCTCATTCAGAATCAACCCTCTATCCCTCTATCCCTCTGCTCTACCACAATCCTAGTCACAAACAAGGAGTCTGCAGGCTCTTGTGGTGACCCTCTATGCACATCAAGTGGACATCAGTGCTTAATCTGATCACTGCAGCCAGAATGCCTCCACAAACGGCATTTGGCCTAATGCATCAGGAACATAAAAGCATTATCATTTCAGTCCATCCAACTGCACTGGATTCCTAGCCATGATGTGCTGGTAAAGTTTAACAGGCTCTCCAGGACCAAAAAAAAAAAAAAAAAAAAAATTGAATTTTAAAAAGTCCTCATTTGTAGTGTTTACTGAGATCCATGGTATAAATATTCTCAACCATCACCAATTTCAAGCTCCTGATGAAACATCAGTGACAGAGGCACACCCATATTCAGCTCCCACAAACCGGTAGGAGCCAACTCCAGCTGGTTTGGTTTTTAGACAAGCCCAACGTATGGCCTGTGAGGGGAATGGGCAGTTTTCTACTTGGCACAAATTTGCTTACTCCAGCCCTCATCTGTCCCTCAAGGAGCTTAGTTAGTCTCACTCATGCTACTCAGGGCTGGGACTAGTGTTGTGTGCCACTGAGTTGGTTCCGGCACACAGTGACTCTATATGACAGAACAGAACTGCCCCATAGGGTTTTTCTTGGCTTTAATCTTTACGGAAGCAGATTGCCAAGTCTTTCTTCTGGGTGGGTTCGAACCACTGATGTTGCAGTAAGCAGCCAAATGCTTAACCACTGCACTACTAGGGCTCCTAAGTTAAACGCCTAGGGTGCAAATTTTAGGGAGACACTCACTCTCATGATTATGCAAGTGCAGGGTGACAGAAGTGTTAAGACTGAGAATGAGGGCCTCCTTATATTTTGCATCCCAGATACCTCACTGGGCTCCAGGAGGCCTCATCCTAGTCCAAGTCCTGTGCCACACAGTTTCTGCCATTAAATCCTCAGAGGATTAATCCCAACTTAGGTATCAATGTCTTATCATCACTTCCCTGTCCATCCTTTTGATTTGTCTTGTCTACCTTGAGTCAAGGGTCTGAAAGCCTACCACAGTTCTGAGACCCCACTGCAATATTCACTCCGCTTGACAAGCAGCCATGGTTTATATTCAGCTAGAACATCACAGTCATAGGCCTAAAAGCCCATCTCCTTTTCAGTTTACTCAGTTCTACCGAAGAATGCAAAGCAGGGCACTTAGCATACTGTTTAGGGACAGGGCAGTACTAGAAATGTCATTTCAGTGTGACTTCTCACTGAAGTACAGGGCAGTTCCTTAGCTCCTCACTGACAACTCAGGAACCTGGAAATAAGATTATATAGGTGGGCACAACAGCTACCTGCCTCAGTAGCCTCATGCCTACCATATACATAGACCCGTATCTCTTGTACCAATCCATGCATATACACTCCAACATCTGGGTATAAGTGACATCACATTCAGGGGAGCCCAATGTTATGGTCTCCCCTCAGGTATTTATAGCTCATTCACAATCCTCCCAGCTCAGATGCACTTTACCAATCAGGGGTTTTACCATAGGCAGTGTTACACAGCTTTCATTCTACCGTTAAGCAATTACAAAGAAGTATTGCTGAAGAAGGAGCTCTGGTAGAGTAGTGCCTAAGACACTTGACTGCTAACCAGAACGTTGAGAGTTCAAACCCACCAGCCACTCCTTGGAAGGAAGGTTGGGCAATCTACTTCTGTAGTGATACTGCCTTGGAAACCCAAGGAGGGGTCGCTATGAGTCGGAGATGATTCGACGGCACATAACAACATTGCTGAAGAAATTCAACAGGAGGCCATTTTCTCAGCAGGAAGGACAAAGGGTTCTCTTAACCTTTTACTCACATACTCAAAGGCATATTATCACAACATTTCAGTATATTTGGGACAAAGAGAATATGCCAAGAGCTTCCAGAGGAAAAACAGGTTTAATTAAAATTTTCAGTAATTGGATTGGCTTCACACTTTCCGGGAGCAGCTCCAGAAACTAGGAGTCACTGAAAGAGTGTCTTCAAAATACCAAAGGGAAATAATTTCCAAACAAAAATACAAACTGACGTAAACCATGATTCAAACCTAATGGTAGATTTTTCTATAAAGTCTCAGAAAGTTTACCTCAGTGTCCTTTTTGTCAGAAACTTCTGCAGAATGTTTTCCCTCCAAAGAAACATTAAAAAAAAGAGGAGAATGTGAAATCCAAGAAATAGGGGATTCCTCTACAGAAAGGAGTTAAAGAAAAGCCTCAGGCTGGTAGTTCTGGAGCAATTTCAGGACAGTCAGCAGGCCTAAGGAGCTTATTGTAGAGCAGACTGATGGGGGCTGGGGGGAGTTTGGTTTCAAGAGAGGTGTGTCCAGAAAAAAAAAAAAATGAGAGTGTATATGAGATGTTTGAAAAGGAGATTTCTATTTATGTCAGTGTTTAGGGTTGAATTAATGATGGGATATTAAAAAAAAAACTAAGGAAACAACAAACAAACAAATCATACAACTCATAGCCTTGAGGTAAAAGAGGTATTTAAGAAAGGAAATACACCTCTGACTCAGCTATGACCAATCTTTGCTAAACTGAGAGAATAAACCCAGCCAAAAAACCCATTGTCATCTAGTTGATTCCAACTCATACCAATCCTATAGGACAGAGTAGAACTGTCCCATAGGGTTTCCAAGGCTGTAAATCTTTACAGAAGCAGACTGATACAGCTTTCTGCCACTAAGCAGTTGGTAGATTAGCAGTCAAGCTCTTTAATCACTGTGCCACCAGAGCTCCATCATGGAGAGAACAGGAAGGTGGGGAATGGGCATATGTTAGTGAGGATGGTAGTGGTTAGCAGGTACTTTCTGTTTATTAACCTAACAGCCATTTCTAATTCCCTTCTCTCTTACCTCCTAACTATAAAACCTGGAAAAGCTAACTGCTCCCTTTCTAAGCTTCTCTTATAGCTATGAATAACCAAGTAATTATTTTGGTTAGTGATCTGTCAGCAGAATCTAGTAAGGGTTTCCAAGGAAGCTTTTATTTTCCTGAATAACACAGGCAGATTAGCACCATCCCCCTTCCTTTTCCTTTTGTCTCAATCACTGATTGATGCCTACAGCTGCAATACGCACACTGCAAACACAAAGCAACAAATAAACATGATAAGGATGGTGGGACAGAAAGAAAAAGCTAGAGATACAGATTATGTAGTTGACGCACCACACTAACTCTGGACAGCATATGGCTAGACTTCTTATTAAATTAAAACTATCCGTCAGTTTTCTGTTTACTTACAGCTGAAAGAAATAAAGCACTCCTAATTAACAGAGCTCTGGTAGTGTAGTGCCTATGGCATTTGCCTGCTAATCAGAAGGCTGGTGGTTCAAACCCACCAGCTACTCCTCAGAAAGAAGACTGGGCAATCTACTTCTGTTGAGTTTCCACCTCAGAAACCCAAGGTAGAGGTAGCACCTCAGAAACCCAAGGAGTGGTAGCTATGAGTAGGAACTAAGTCAAGGGCAGTATGTTTGCTTTTTTTTTTAACCAATGCAAATGAAAAGGAGCCCAGATGGCACAGTGCTTAAGCGTCCCCCACTGCTAAACAAAAGGTTCAAATCCACCAGGCGTCTGCAGGTGAAAAACGTGGCAGTCTACCTTGGAAATCCTAAGGGGCAGTTCTACTCTGTCCTATAGGGTCATTATGAGTTGGAACTGACTCAGTGGCAATGGGGTAACTAATGCAATGGTGTATGAGAGCTAAGTACTCATCCTCTATTAAAAAAAAAAAAAAAAAAAAAAAAACCTCACTGCCATCAAGTCAATTCCAACTCATAGCGACCTCCACTGGGTTTCCAAGGCTATAAATCCTTATGGAAGGAGACTGCTTTATCTTTCTTCTGAGGAGCAGCTGGTAGGTTTGGACCACCGACCTTTTTGGGTCAGCAACTAATTGCCTTAACCACTACACCACCAGAGCTCCTTCTCATCTTCTAGGGGGGGAAGGAAATGAATAATGCCTAAAAATTTTTAAATCAAGAAATAACATGTTTAAGTATATTACTTAGAAACATGATAACAAGTACCACACACACAAAAAAAGGATAAGAGAATTAAAATTGGATGCGAAATTAAAAATGGGGGTGCGAAGAAGTGGGACATGGGATTGTTATTTTTCATTGTAAGTTTTATAGTAGAGTTTCTCAGCCTCAGAATGACCACCATTTGGGGCCAGATAATTCTTTGCTGGTGGGTGCGCGGGGCCGTCTTGTGCATTGTTTACCAGTGTCCTTGGCCTCTAGCACTAGATGCCAGTAGCAACCCTCCTCCCCAGTGGTGACAACCAAAAGTGTTTCCAGACATGGACAAATGTTCCCTGGGGTACAAAACTGCCTGACTGAGATTGATGCCTTAATTGCTAACTGACAGGTGAGAAGTTCGAGTTCACCCAGAAGCACCTCAGAAGAAAGTTCTGGGGATCTACTTCCAAAAACTCAGCCACTAAAAACCCTAAGGAGCACAGTTCTACCTGATCTCACCGTCTGTGCCTAAGAATCCTACACCCTCACTCCCAGGTAAGCACAGACAGAACAGAGACACTTACCACCTAGAAATGCACACTCGTAATGGCTGCAGGTCTTGTTTGTGCTTTGAAGGATAAAGCTATTGCCAGCCTCTTCCTGTGACACATGAAATATCTCATTCAGAGGTATTAAAACAATTCTTTCACTTTGTTTATCCAGAAATTTCTCAATGGAAACTCCAAAGCATGTGTTGATGGTTAACAGGCTATTCTGGTCATTAAGAACCTGAGGTTTGGCTGAATATGCCAAGGTGAAACGGCCAAACCTGGCTTGGTTTAGCTCTCCAAATAGAAATGAAATACCCTGACTTGTACTATATACCACAGTTTTGTAAGTGTCCTCACAAGGGCTTCTCAGAAACTGCAGGGCTCTTGTCAGGTAAAAATGTAAAGCTTTGAACTGGAAACTATAGATATAATCTTCTCGAGATTGGCCAGCCATCTTCACAGCTTCGTTGAACATGTGGTAAAATGGAGTTTGCTCCTGAGCTTGAGAAATATATGCCATCAGGGCTATTCCATGGTTATCCTTAAAATTCATAGGGAGAAACAGCTGAGTCTTCCGAACTTCCCATTTGGCTTTTGCATTTTCCCACACAGTCTCCAATAGCTCATGGCTTGCTTTTTCCTCTTTGAGCAGTTGGGGAACATATTTGATCTCCATCCTGTCAGCGCATTTCAGGTATTCATCATCAAATGCATTATCTGCCATGTCTAATATTTCAGCCTTCACCTTCAAAAAGAAAGGAAATTAATAATCTTGAAATAAGATATTTGGTTTATATAATTTTCTCTCACAGTACTGACCCCTACTCCCTTATCCCTGGCCAAGAATCTCTCCTTATTTATAACTAGCTTTGGATATGTTTTACATAGGAAGTATCTTTTATTGCTATTAATAACTTTTCTCAGTTGACATAATTGTATGAAAGAGTAAATGTTAGTGGATAAGGTACATAATTAGTGTTGTGCCTGTAACTCATTCATTTGAACATCATGGTACAGAGGAAAGAACAATGAGTGGAAATTGAAGAAATAGGCGTCTGAATACCATTCTTAACTATAGTTCTTCAATCTCTTCTTTCATGACCGATGGGACATTTACCGCCCACCATTTTCAGCCGCGCACTTTTCTTGGGAAACTGCTATTCCAGTTTTAGTATGTGCTGCCACCTGGCAGGGACCTGTATAACTGTGTGAATCTGATGAAGCACACCAATCCTACCACCAGAGTTCATTTGGGACATATGTTTTCCATATATTTGTATAAAAATCCATATTACCTAACATTTTTTTTCTTTAATTTCAGCATGACTTCCATTACTGAAAACATATGACATCAACAAAAAATTCAAAGCAGAAAATAATTCAGTCATGAAAAAGTTAAGACTACCGGGAGAATCGGAAATACTATGTGATAAATACATATACATTATATACGAAAATAAATATATAACCCAAAACTCCAAACCAAACTCACTGCCGTCCAGTCGATTCTGACTCATAATGACCCTTCCTTGGGTTTCTGAGGTGGTACCTCTATGTAAGTAGATTGCCCAAGTCTTCCTTCCAAGGAGTGGCTAGTGGGTTTGAACCGCCAGCCTTCTGGTTAGCAGGCAAATGCCTTAGCACTAAGCTCCCAGAGCTCCCAGATGAATATATACTGACAAGTATTACCCTTTTCCTTTTGGAACACCCCTTGTATCATCCATGTCGTTTAGGTAGAACTGATTCCACATTTCCAGCCCCAAAATAAGCAGGTGATCAAGGCCTAACAATCAAAACACTCTCAGAAAAAAAAAAATATGTCTGTTTCTCCCTCTAAAATCCTAAGCAGTAAGGAGGGTATTGCCTTAGCACTGCCAACATTTATCTTTCTGGTCCCATAGAGAATCTTGTTGGAAAATAAAAGTCAAGAAAGAAAAGGTTGCAGAGCTGAGAGGAGGAGAAAGACATAAAGCCTTGATAACATTACTTGAGATTGTGAATCAAGCTACGCCTGAACACCGTGTTTTATCTGTGAATTTTGTTTACAGTCATAAGAACAAATAAAATCTCTATTTCCTCAAGCGACTTCGAATTATGTTTCTGTCATATAAACCCAAAAAGGCCTAATGCATCTCTAAATGATACTATGTACACACACCATAACAAGTTGGGTGTTGTTGCTGTTGTTATGTGCCGTTGAGTCTGATCTGACTCATAGCGACCTCTCCTCCTTGGGTTTCTGAGGCAGTATCACTACGGAAGTAGATTGCCCAATCAATCTTCCTTCCGAGGAGTGGCCGGGGGATCATGGTATAATTAACATTAGCTTGAAGTTGGACAAGTCTGGATACAAATCCCATATCCATTATTAACTAGGTAACTAAGCCCTTTCTAAGCTTCCATTTTTCTCATCTAAAAATGAGGATAAGGAGGAAAGTAATATCTGCCTTGCAGGATTTTTGTGAGGAAAATTATATAATGAGTGTATGTAAAACCTTTGGCCCCATGGTTGGCATATATCAAGTCTTCAACAAACTGGTTATTTTTATTAATTCATGAGAGAAATATGTGTCATGTTGTAAGATCCTCAAAGGTGGAACTTGATAAATCATATTTATCTTTGAATCTCAAGCACTTATATAGCACCTGGCAAAATATTTAAGTGAACTAAGTATTAAAAACCCTGTGCATTGGCCTATGGATCAAAGATGTAGGGTAAACAAAAAAGGACACTTTTTATGGATTTCTACAAGTAAAAGGATAATGCTTTTATGGTGATATAAGTTCCTTTATGTGGCCTTCTGTCTTGGTTCTTTGGAAAAACAGCCTGAGAGATTCCCCCACCCCCCACCCCAAGCCCTGAGAAGTCACCTTTGTGCTAATTTTCTACCCCATGGGGTTTGTTACACATTCTAGGTAAACTGTAAAAAACTTGGTTTGATACTTTTTGTCTGGTGCTGGGCTACAGCCTGCCTTGTGATTAGTACGCACCATGCAAGGACTGGTCAATATACTATGCAAATGAAGTTACTGTAGACTATGCAGTCTATGCAACGAGCTATGCTATAGTAAGTCTACTATGCAGATGAAGTGTCTATGGCCTACTGAGAAGAGATTGGTCAGTTGGTAGCCCTGGTGGGAGAGTCATGCCTTAAAATTGACAAGGAGTTTGTAATATATATATATTGTTGCTGTTGTTGTTGTTAGGTGCCATCGAGTCTTTTCTGACTCATAGCGACCCCATGCACAACAGAACAAAACACTGACTGCCCTATCCCGCACCAGCTCCACAATCCCTGCTATACTTGAGTCCATCATCGCAGCCACCGTGTCAATCCATCTCGTTGAAGGTCTCCTCCTCTTTTGTCGACCTTCCACCTTACCAAGCATGACATCCTTCTCCAGGGAATGGTCCCTTCTTACAACATGACCAAAGTAGGTGAGACGAAGTCTGGCCATTCTTGCTTCCAAGGAGCATTTCGGGTGCACTTCCTCCAGGACAGATCTGTTAGTTCTTTTAGCAGTTCATGGTACTTTCAGCATTCTTCGCCAGCACCACAACTCAAAAGCATCAACTCTTCTTCGGTCTTTCTTATTCATTGTCCAGCTCTCACATGCATATGAGGTGATTGGAAATATCATGGCTTGTGTCAGGTGCACCTTAGTTCTCAAGGAGACATCCTTGCTCCTCAGCACTTGAAACAGTTCCTTTGCGGTTGACCTCCCCAGTGCTACATGTCTTCTAATGTCCTGACCGCTGCTGCTTCCATTGGCATCGATTGTAGAACCAAGCAATGTGAATTCTTTGACAACCTCAATCTTCTCTCCATTTATTGTGATGCTGCTCATTGGTCCAGTTGTGAGGATTTTTGTTTTCTTTATATTGAGGTGTAATCCAGACTGCATTCTTCAACCTTCATCAGTAGGTGCCTTAAGTCATCCTCACTTTCAGCAAGCAAAGTTGTATCGTCTGCGTATCTCAGGTTGTTAATGATTCTTCCTCCAATCCTGATACATATATATATATAAAAGCAGCCAACCCCACAGAGGTTTTTCAGATAGGAAGCAAGAAGCAGCAGAAAGGAGAAAAGGCAAGAAAGAAGAGAGAGAAAAGAGTCAAGAAATCTAAAAGAGCTGTAACATGAATTAAGGGCTCTAATACTGAAGACAGTGACAAGCTCTGAAAGGGGCTTGTGGCAGAGCTGGTGGCAACAGATGGTAGGGCCAAGAGGAGCCTGTCCTGAGGGAGTGAGAGGAGGCCTATCCTCAGAGGGCTGAGATGGGGTGTGCACGGCAGAGATAAGAGACTGCTTGCTTGCATGTCTGTCAGAAGCTAAGAGAGCTGCCCTACACTGAAGAACAGAGTCTTGGCCTACATGTTTTCTGATCCCAATCTTCAGTTGTACCCTCTTATGTCCTTAATAAACCACTTAACTGTAAGCATGGTCTGTGAATTCTGTTATGGCCAATGCAACATATTATCAAACCCAGAAGAGAAGTAGAGAGTGCCATGGGAGTGACAACTGGTGTCACAATTGGTAAAAATGTTGGAGAATAGAGGTATGTCTGACCTCCACCTCATGGAAGTCAGCTTTGGAATGATCCTGCTCATTATCCCCTCTGAAGTTACAACAGGTTCTGATGTTACTACCACTTTTTTACAGTCCTCTACCTCATCCTCACTTCCCATTATTCTATACCTGTATGGTTCATAGGAGCTCTGGTGCCATAGTGCCTAAGGCATCTGACTGCTAACCAGAAGGTTGGTGGTTAAAACCCACCCACCAGTCACTCCACAGAAGACTGGGCAATCTACTTTTGTAAAGATTTACCACCTTGGAAACCCAAAGGGGGTCACTATGAGTTGGAATCGACTTGATGGCAGAGATTTGTTTTTTGTTTTTTTTTTGAGTTTGTGTAGTTTTAGTTGCGTAAGTCTGCTTAGCCTCAGCTGGAGGTTTTAGAGGCAATTAGCCAGGAGCTGGTAAAGTTGCAGCTTCAATGTGAATGATTCTTAAAGTCTGCACATGTGTGCATGTATGTGCATGTAAGAGAGAGAGAGAAAGAACAAAACAAAACAAAAACTTGATCCCTACTCTAGCTAATTCCTCCACACTATCTCTTTGCTCCTCATCACAGCCAAACTTCTGAAAAGAGATGTCTATCCTTACCATCATTTCATTTACCATATTTATCGTAACCCTCTTCAATCTGCATTCCCACCCCCATTCCTTCACTAAAACAGTTTTCACTAAGGGGGCATTTTTTTGTAGACTCCTTTACAGAGCCACCATAATCTAGCTAGCCATTTAATGCTGGAGTTCCTCAGGCTGCTTATTTTCTAACTCTCAACTCAACCCCTAAGCAATTATATACATGCTCACAATATGTACCAAACCTATGTATCAACTTCCTACTTGATACTTCCACTTGAATTTCTCAAACATAACATGTCCAAGACTAACTCATGATCTTACCATCTACAACCACCAACGATCACCACCTAACCTCTATTTAAGATTATCCATCTGTGGAGTTTTCCTAGAGCCCTCATTATCAGTCACCACGTGTAGTCAATCCATCGCTAAGCCCCAACTTCTCTAGAGTGCATTCTATATGTTTCTATATCCCTGGCACTAAGTGCTTTACATGTACTGATTCATCTAATTCTCATGGAAACTCTTATGTGTTGTTGTTGTTGTTATGTGCCATCGAGTAGGACCCGACTCCTATGTAGTAGAGTAGGAGTTTCAATTTCTATGTAGTAGAAACTATTATTATCCTCTTTTGTACAGATAAGGAAACTAAGGCAGAAATGGGATAACTTGCCTGGAATTGTGATTTGAACCCAAGCAATCTGGGTCCAAAGTCTATCCTCCTAACTAAAATATTCTATTACTGCTAAAGAATAAGAGTGTTTGCACTGACGAAGACCACTGTCATTTATGTGGCACTTTTAACTCTTCAGAGAGCTTAATTTTGTTTTCATAACAACTCTTATGAAGATTGGGCATATAATCATCAGCACCATTTCACAAATTAGGAAACTGTGCCAGCATCAGAAACTGTCTTGTTTACCAGCCACAGAGTATTCTGTGGGAGAAGTTATTGAGACCACTCCTGGGTCTGTAGGTCAGTTCTTCAATATGGGAATTTGAGCTTCAGGAGATCAAATCACTGCCAACGACTAGCCAAGAAATACACTTTCCTCTGCAGCACAGAATGTACCAGACTGAAGCCTGGACACCACTACCTGATTTATCTTCAAGACTTCATTATGGTATAAGACATCGTATCCTAAAACCACCTCCCACATACCTCACATCATATCACAGTTGATCCAATGTGTTCCTGTCTTTTCCTAATGCATCTAACCAGTCTCTACATGTCTAATTTTAGTCACCAAGACTTTCTGGCCAGAGGCCACTGCTGATTGTGTGTTCTGTACAGTGAGTGACTGGAACAGTAACAAAGCTTACAAATGCCACCACCATTCAGGGAAAACAACTCAATGGACACTGACAAATAGGTACAAAAGGCTAGGTGAACAAGCTGATTATATTTTCTTCCTCTGATTGACCCACTGAAACAAAACTCCATACTGATAAAATTTAATTACCGAAAATTTATGAGAAAAATATGGAAATGGCCTAAATGATCAAGAACAGAAATTGGTTAAATTTCTCTATGAAACATTCATAGAACAAAGATATTAAAACTATACTGTTGTTGTTAGGTGCCATCAAATCATCTCTGACTCACAACTACCCTATGCAAAGCAGAACGAAACCCAGTCCTGTGCCAGCCTCATGATCCTTGCTATAAATTATACTACAACCCATCAATTCTGCTCCTAGGTATATTCCTCAAAGACTCAAAAAGAAACTTGTACACCAATGTTCACTGCAACACTATTCAAAATAGCCAAAAGGTGGAAACAACCTAAATGCCCATCAACAGATGAACAGATAAACAAAAATGTGGTAATACATACAATACATACATACTCAGCCAACAGGAGATGAAGTCTTGATATACGGTACAGTATGGATGGAGATTGAAGACATTATGCTGAATGAAATAAGCCAGTCACAAAAGGACAAATATTATATGACCACAATTATGTAAAGAGATAAGAAAAGCCAAATGTATAGAAACCGAAGTTTATAAGTGGTTACCAGGAGTGGAAGGCAAGCCGGGAAGAGGGGTGAATGGTGATGAAAAATCTGTTGCATAGCTGATTATTGTGATTACCCCCAGTAAGTTATTCACTTGTAAAAAGCTGAATTGGCAAAAGTTGTGGGATAGATATATTTACAACAACAAAAGAGTAGCTGCTGAGGCTGCTTATGTACAGTCATACACTTCATGGGATTTGCTTCCTGTTTGGAGGAACATAGGGTCATGGTATCATGGGACATCCCAGGTAAATGACCTAATAATGTATTTAACGCTTCTATTCTACATCCTAGTTTGCTGCATAGTGCCTGGGGTCTTAAAAGCTTGTAAGTGGCCATCCAAAGCACAATTAGTCTCTATTCACCTGGAGCAAAAGGAAAATCAGCAATAGGAGAAGGATATGGAATGTGTGGCTAATTTCCTCCATGAACAACTACTTCCTCTGCAGGGAGACCAGAAGAACTAGATGGCACTTGGCTAAAATTACTGAACATTTTGATCAAAGATTCCATAGAAGAATCCTGATCAAAAGGATCATATAGAACAGGATTCAAAATTTTCATGGACTCCAGACTTTCTAGAACCATGGAGGCTGGATAAATTCCTGAAACTGTTTCCCTTAGATAACTTTTAAACCTTAAACCAAAAACATCCCTGAAGTCATCTTAAAACTAAACAACAGTTTATCTTAATTAGAAAAAAAATTTAAAAAAGGAGTCTGCCTTGAGCATTATGCTCTTTAAGAACTAATGTGAGAAAATGGTGATTGTATAATTTAATAAAAAATATTAACCAAACAATAAATGTAGGTGGTTTTATTTGGAGAAAAATACATGGCATTTTCAGAATACTTAATAACAAAACCAAAAAGCAAACTCACTGCCGTTGAGTCGGATCCAACTCATAGCAACCCCTCCTTGGGCTTCCGAGGTAGTATCACTATGGAAGTAGATTGCCCAATCTGCCTTCTGAATTTAATAACAAGAAGAGACATTTGTAGCATTTGTAGCACAGTATTAAAAATTAAAGTAAAAAATAGTGTGTATAGTGTGAATATATTTTTGTAAATTAAATACACACATACACACAGAAAAAAGCCAAAGTGGCTATATGCCAACAGGTAAAGAGTCTTTCCCTCCATGTGAAAGATTATACACTAATTTCACTTTCTTCTAAAGGTGCTCTGGTGGTATAGTGCTCCTGAGCTCCAGGTGACGTAGTGCCTAAGGCATCTGACTGCTAACCAGAAGGCTGGTGGTTCACCAGCCACTCTGCGGAAGGAAGACTAGGCAATCGACTTCTGTAGAGACACTGCCTCGGAAACCAAAGGAAGGGTCACTATGAGTCAGAACCAACTTGATGGCAGTGAGTTTGTTTTTTGGTGGTGGTACAGTGGATAAAGCATTTGATCGCTAATCAAAATGTTGGCAGTTTGAACCCACCAGCTGCTCCATGGGAGAAAGATAAGGCTATCTGCTTCTGTAGGGATTTACAGCCTTGGAAACCCTATGAGGCAGTTCTACTCTGTGTCATAGTTCACTACGAGTCAGAATCGACTTGATGGCAGTGGGGTTGGTTTTGGTTTGGTTTACTTAAGTTTTCAGTCTTCTACAGTTAACATATATCACATCTGTAAAATGAAGGAAAAAAACACTATTTGTAAAAAATTCATTGACCTATCCCACTCCAAGGAGCTCTAGTGGTGTAGTGCCTAAGGCATTTGACTGCTAACCAGAAGGCTAGCAGTTCAAACCCACCAGCTACTCCTTGGTAGGAAGATTGAGCAATCTACTCCTGTAGAGACACCACCTCAGAAACCCAAGAAGGGGTCAGTCACTATGAGTCGGAAATGACTTGACATCAGTGAGTCTGGTTTTTTGGTTATCCCCCTCCAGCTCATAGTGATGCTTTAGGGCTGAGTAGAGCTGCTCCATAGCGTTTCCAAGGCTGTAAATCTTTACAGAAGCAGAATGCCACATTTACAGAAGCAGAATGCCACATCTTTCTTCTGTGCAGTGGCTGGTGGGTTCCAACTGCCGATCTTTTGGATAAGTGCCGAGCACTTTAACCTCTGCACCACCAGCCTCCCCCCCCCGCCCCCCGCTGACCTGTCCTTCCTGCTATCATTTTCCATCATCAACCCAAACACATGCCTCAGGCAATGTTATATCAAGAGCTCCCATTCCAGTGACCACATGCTTCTCATTCCCAACATTACCTGGAAGATGTCCACTAGGATCACAGCTGCCAGCAACATGGTGACCATTTCAAAATGTCCTGTCTTCATTTCTCTCTTCTAAATTAAAATGAGGAAATTTCAAGTTAGTGGACTTAAAAATAGAGTTCAGAGGAGTAGAGCAGGATAGTACTATATGTATTTTCATTCTAGGTAAGAATGATATGAAAATCAGGAAATGATCATCATTAAATTTCAAACCTTGAAAGCCCATTAAGGTTTATCTAATGGTCTAATTTCTTCCTTCTGCAGACGAGGAAACAAAAACTCTGAGAAGTTTAGCTATTTTCTCAAAATTAAATCGATTTATTTTCATACTCCTCCAGACATGTCCCATGATCTATCAGTCAGTTTGTTGTGTTTTGGTGGCTTGTATTGCTATGTTGCTGGAAGTTATGCCACTGGTATTTCAAATACCAGCAGGGTAACTCATGGTGGACAGGGTTCAAAAGAACTTCCCTACTAAGACAGACTAGGAGGAAAGGCCTGGTGAGCTACTTCCAAAAATTCTCTGGTAGCATAGTGGCTAAGACACTTGCCTGCTAACCAGATGGCTGGCGTTCAAACCCACCAGCCACTCCTCGGAAGGAAGGTTGGGCAATCCTACTTCCGTAGTGATACTGCCTCGGAAACCCAAGGAGGGGTCACTATGAGTCGGGTTTGACTTGACGGCACATAACAACAACAATAACAACAACATAGTGCTGGAAGATGAGCTCCCTACTTTGGACAAAAAATCAAACCAAATTCACTGCCATCAAGTCAGATCCGACTCATAGTGACCCCTCCTTCAGTTTCCTAGACAGTATCACTACGGAGCTCTGGTCGCATAGTGCCTAAGGCATTTGACTGTTAATCAGAAGGCTGGTGGTTCAAACCCATCAGCCACTCCTGGGAAGGAAGATTGGGCAATCTACTTCCCAAGGAGGGGTGGCTATGAGTCGATCTGACTCGATGGCAGTAAGTTTGGTTTTTGGTTATCACTACGTAAGTAGATTGCCCAATCTTCCTTCCAAGGAGTTGCTGGTGGGTTCAAACTGCCAGCCTTCTGGTTAGCAGTCAAATGCCTTAGGCACTATGCCACCAGAGCACCCCCCTCGACTGGAAGCACTCAAAATACACTCAAATTACACAGTGGCCACAACAGTGGATTCAAGCATATCAACATATATGAAAAGGGTACAGAACTGGAAATGTTTCATTCTGTAGTACATGAGGTCACCATGAATTGGAGCTGATCTGACAGCAACTGACACCAATAACGAGTCATGTTTTCCCACCACAGAAGCAGTAGTCATATATTCTTCTTATCTTTAAATATCCCTCTCAGTATACCCAGGAAATAATACAATCCATCTGAAAAACAGCCATCTCAAATTGGTCCCCTAACTCCCAGTGTCCAAGAATTCCCTAGGAGGAGTTACAGTATCTGTACACATCACTTTTCTTCTTCTTCTTTCTTGCAAACCAAGTCATGCCCTTTTGAGCGGGATGGAGAGAGAATGTGGTCAGTAGTGGGAGCTCTGGTGGCGTAGTGCCTAAGGCATGTGACTGCTAACCAGAAGGCTGGCGGTTCAAACCCACCAGCCACTCCTCAGCAGGAAGATTGGGCAATCTACTTCCATAGTGATTCTGCCTCGGAAACCCAAGGAGGGGTCCCTATGAGTCGGATCCTACTCCATGGCAGTGGGTGTGGTTTGGTTTTTCTGGTAGTGGTGCAAAGCAGTAAGTTATCTCAGGGTACCTCCTTCCCCAAAATATTCACAATCTAGAGAAGCCCAAGAGTAAAACAAGTACACAGCACAACTTTCTGAAGGTGGGATAGAAGGAACTGGGTAGGCAGCAGTTCTAACACGATTATACAACTCTGTTGGCCAAATGCCCAATATTCATCTCGGGTTTATGAAACTGAAAGGGGTAAATAGAAGGCTAAGAGGCCCCAAGAGCGAAAACTGTCCCAGAGCCATTAACTATTTCAATTAAAGGCTACAGCAGGTTGAGCTACAGTTCTTTCCACATACCTTCAACAAAGCATACATTACTGGAACTAAAACAAAATCTCTATTTTATCCTACCAATTGCCTACTCTGGCTTCTGAAAATGGGAACGAATGGCATAGGGGAAAGGAGGATAGCCTTTCTTTGCTTTTATAGATGATTTTGGCCCAAGATACCTGTCTTTTTTCAGAAGCAGTTTCTTTCACTAAAGTTACTCAAATACAATGTCAAAATACCTCTTTTATGTTAAAGTTTCCTTTTCCAGAAAGGATCTGGAATATAAGATGAGACAGATAGCTGTTACAAGGGAGTATGTGCCAAATAAGCTCTGGATCAGGGTTTTCTGAACATTCTTCACTTCTGTATTCTGAATACAAATAAGTAAAAATGTTTACCTGGCTTTTCTGCCTTGGAGGAGGTTTAAATGATGCTACGTTTCAAACCGATCCTCCACTCTCTCAGTTGTGAGCGTGTCTTTCGGATGGGATGTTGTTGACAGTGAGAGCTGAGAAGGGAATGCTTTTCTTTTTATAAACACCCCAGCACTAGCTTGGCAGTGGCACATTACCCCACTTGTGTTCTGCTATTTATATCTGGCCCCCACACTCTCTCTTGGAATCACTGCTGTTAACACATTAAATTTCCAAGAGGCTTGTAAAGCCACAGCAATTCCCTCTAACTATATAGCATGTTCACATAGAGGCTTTCAGTGCAGGGCGTCTTTCAAAAAGAAATCACTTTCCATTCTTAACCCTTCGACTCTGAGATGTCAAGGTAAAAACTAAAGTGTGGATTCTACTCACTCCAGTGAACTCCTGGTTCACATTACTAAAGGGACTTGCTGTGTTAATCACTGGCAGTAGTGATGACTATCACCATTCACTCATACTGTATGCCAGGTACTGTGCCAGGTACAGGGATAGACAAGCAAGTAAAACAAGGTACTGAAAGGCACTCACAATATAATAAAAGACACGATTATGCACACTTAGCCAAAACACAGTATGTTAAGAATCCCAATATAGAGAAATTCCAGTGAGAATGTTCAAGAAGGAAGGATTTGGTAACAAACCCAAATCCACTGCCATCAAATTGATTCTGACTCACAGCAACCCTATAGGACAAGAGTAGAACTGTCCCACAGGGTTTCCAAGACCATAAATCTTTACAGAAGCAGGCTGCCTCATCTTTCTCCTGTGGAGCAGCTGGTGGATTCGAACTGCTGACAGCTTACCTTTCAGTTAGCAGCTGAATGCCTGAACCACTGCACCACTAGAGCTCCTGGATTTAGCAATACCAGCCACTATCTCTCTCACATAGTAAATACATTGGTTACAATGCTGAAGTACACTTAAAGTTCATTGACCATGGACAAAAGATCTTGCATTGTCCCGGGTTTTTCAAAATAACGTTATTAGGATGTTGATAGCAGTACTATTTATAAAGGCCCCAAACTGGAAACCATCCTAAAGCCCATTAAGAATAGAATAGATAAAATGTGGTATATTCATATACAATGGAATTTTATATAGCATCAAAAATTAACAAACTATAGTCATATATAACAATCTGGCTAAATCTCACAAACAAGATTTTGTGGAAAAGAATCCAGAAACTTACTGTATGGTTCGATTTATACAGAATACCAAATCAAGCAAAACAAATCTATAGCATTAGAAGTCAGAATAGTGGTGACCTTGGGTGGGGAGTAAGGAATGTAAGGGGTACAAGGCACGCACATGGGATGTTTGTTGGGTTCTGTTTCTTTTGTCCCAGATGCTGATCACATTGATGTATTTAGTTTGTAAAAATCCATCAAGCTATATACTTGTGATATATGTGTGAGTGTATATTATACTTCAATAAAACATTTGAAATTATCCTGAGATAGACACACATTTGCAAAACACACCTGTGTTCTTCAAACCCTTCTAAAACTTCTTCCCACCACTTCCTCCCACTGGCTAAGCAATCAGGCTAAGTTAAATGCACTGAGTAGACTCTTAGAAATAGCACAGTAATTATTTTAAAATGGAGTTTGGTTAGAATGGAAAAAGAGGGTTTGTATACATTTTCAGGACTTAGCACTGACCTGCTTTTAGGCCCCAGGCATGTGTACCTACATGGAATGAGGTAGTAGGATTCTCCTGTCCCAGTCCCTTAAAACTTACTAGATTCATCTATGCATCACAAAAGAGCTTGAGTCTACCAAAAAGAACATAATGAACATTACATGCAGTTCAAAGCAAGTTTGATCTTGTTTATTCCCAACATGGTTTTGCTCTATTCCTGTTTCATCCCAGTTATGACCTCTTGATTCCATTCATTCATTCAACAAATACTGTAGCCAGGCACTACTTTAGGTACTGGTATTATAGTGAGGAAATAGGTAAAAACTGTGCCTTTGTGCAGTTTATATTCTAGTGGGGGGAGGCAGTCAAATAATTCTAAAAGAAATAAGTAAATTGTATTAGTACATTAGACTTCAGTAAGCTCTATAGCTTTTTTTGTTTTAAGTAGAACAAAGGAGATTGGAAGTACATGGAGAGTTTGTAATTTAAATCAGAAGGATTAGGGAAGACTCATTAAGGAGGTGATACTGGAGCAAAGACTTGAAGGAAATGAGAGAGATCAGCCACGGAAATCTGGTGAAAAAGTAATCAGGCAGAGAGAATAGCAAGTACTAAAGGCTACCTGATGCAAGAATGAGCTTAGTTTTGTTTGAGGAACAGCAAGGAGGCCAATATGTCTGAACCAGATTGAAAAGGGAAGAATACTAGAAGATAAGGTCAGATAAGGGTGGTGGAAACATCACTTAAGTCTTTATTGGCTTTTATCCTAAAAGAAAGGGAACAAACCACAAGGTTTTGAGCAGAAGAATAACATCATCTGACTTATGTTTTAACAGGATCACTGTGGTTGTTACCCTGAGAATGGTATGTAGGGTGAAAGCAGGGAGACCCATTCCTGGGTGGTACAAACAATTAAAGTGCTCAGTTGTTCAATGAAAGGTTGGAGGTTTGAACCTACATGACAATCTACTTACAAAAAATC